GGGGGGGGGGGGGGGGAGAGCCCTCCCTGGAACAAAAGGGGACAAGCTATCCGCACCCCTGGCCCATCTGCCGGCTTTCCAGCCCCGTTCCTCCCCGCTTTACCTTGGCCACGTAGTCTTTCACTTCGTCCAGGTCGCCGTTTTTGAGGGCCCACATGAACTCCTTGTCGGACATAGCGGCGGCCGCCCTGACCGGGACTCGGCGCGAGAGGCCGCGGCACCGCTCGGAAGAAAGGGCGGGGCTGCAGCGGAAAGGGCGGCGGCGACAGTTAGGCTGCTCTCTCTCGTGGGGGGCGAGGGCGACGGTTACGCCTCCAATAACAGGCGCTCTGGGCACGAGGAGGCCGGAAAAAGGGAAATGCAACTAACATGAAGGTGGCGGGGCGGGTGTAATTAAACCGCTTCGTATCGCCACACACCGCTTCCGCTTCCGCTCACCATTCGCTTTTTTCGCCCACACCCCATGGTGAGGCAAACCGCGCGAGCGCGCATGCGCCGGGAAGTCTCTCCTCGCTCGCTTCCTGCTTGAACGGGGGCTTCGACGCGAGGAAGCTAACGGCTTCCGTAGCCTGCGCGGGGCGGAGCGTCCGAGTCGCTCCGGGAAACCAGAGCTTGGGAAGAAGCTATCGCGCATGTGCTTTTAGGCTCGGTAGGCTAAAGTAAGTGTTGAAAGAAGTGGCTGCTTAGGAAACACATTTAGGTATGCGTGGACGTCCCAATTCCCCTGTGGGACAAAGTAATATATGGCAAATACAGTCGCTTACTCTCTGGCTTCTAAGGCGGGACCTAAATATCTACAACAATGTTACTCAAACTCAGCAACTTTAAAATGTATGGATTTCAACTCCCAGAATTCCCCAAGCAGCATGCTGGCTGGGGAATTCTGGGAGTTGAAGTGCACACATATTAAAGTTGCTGAGATTGAGAAACACTGGTCTACAAACATTGTAAATTAGCAGATGTATAAAAAGAGGGAAGTTAGAAACCCTATAGTTCTTTTTTCTTTTTCCTTTTGTTTAGTTTCAGGTATTTTAATTGTCATTAAATTTGCTTTGCTTATGTACTTTTACCTTTTATTAACATGTAAAAAAATTAAGTTACAATACAGTGGAGGCCTTAACGTTAAGTAATCAGCTCAAGACCAAAACCTTTATCATACAATAAATGCTTTGATGCAATCTACAGCAGATTTTTTTTTCCTAATGTTATATTCAATTCTGGAAGAAAAAGTCAAATAATCTCATGCTTGTAATATTGATATCCTGAATTGTAATTCATATTGATAGAATACTTTTCTCCTTGCTTTATTTCCAATAGTCTAAGTTATCTAAACAATAGTGTCAATAATCTTCCATTAATACTGTATAAATATCATTGTATTGAAACAATATACTATATAAAGAATTACAACAACATAATAAAACAAAAAAAAAAGGCTTTAGCAAATCTTGGTTTAAAGGATGCTCACCTTTGGAAGGTGGGTCCCACTGATTTCAGAGGCTTTTCCCAATTATCAGTAACTTTAGGTTTCAGTCTTAAACCCAATTATTCAGATTTTATTCCACTGAAGTCACAAACACTTACTTCTGAGTAAATGCACATAATTCTGCCTTCCAAGGGAAGACTAGCACATGTTTCTATGAAAGTCATATCCACTGAGGTTGATATGCTTCCCCCCTTGATAGGTGTGGACAGGGTTCCATTTTTGACTGGCTAGAACTGCAGGAAGTGATCAAGGTATTCTTTATAAAATATTTTTTCAGCTTCTGAAGTGACAAGTTGGATCAATTTAAATCTGCAAAAGAAAGTATTAATCAGATCTAGTTATATCTGCAGTGTATATCTGTGCAGGCTTACTTAGTAAGACCTACTGAAATTAGAAGGATGCCCCTTCACTCTGTTTGGGTAGGTCACTAGATCTTGTGCTTAAGTTCATAAAATGATGTGCTTACTTTTAAGTAAAAGTAAACTTTTAACAAAGTTATCCTTAATCATTATTTTTCTGCTTATAATAAGTTAAGTAGAAACAATCTGTTTTCAAAATAATGCTAATAAATTGACATATATTTTAATAAAAAGTTATTTTATAATTATGCAGATCTTACTAATGTCATGTAATCATGTTTAGGATTGCAACCTTGTGATACAATCCTAGAACAATAAGTTTAATTCATTTAAATGGAATGACCTTCCTAGTAATCGTGTTTAGAATTGCAGCCTCAATGTTTTATATGCACCTATTTAAGAATATACATAGGACCTATTTTTAACCCATTTTTGGGTTTTAACAAGGGAATGTCTGTTCACACAAGCCTTCAAATTTTACTTTATTGAACATTTAACCTGCCTTTCATTTAGGAGATCAAGGCAGTGTACATTGTGCTGATTGCTGTTTTCCCTACAGCAAAAATTCTGTGTGGTAACTTGGTCTGAGAGAAAGTGACCAGTTTAAAGTCAGCTAGTGATCTCTGGCTGACACTGGATTTAAACCTGGGTTTCCCCCACTCACAGTCCAAAATCTACTACACTAATTTGGCTCAAATATGCATTGAGGTTGAATCCTATCTTATGTCTGTAAATCTCTTCATACAGCTTCTGTATCATGTATCATGATAATGGAAACCATGTTTTGTGAATGAGGCATGGAGCACAATTGATAGGAGAGAAACAGCAGTTTGAGCTACAGTAGATTGTACCAAGATATCAAAGTACTCAGCCTTTCTTTTCATAAAATTTCTAGCAGAACATATTCTAGCACGGATCTCATTCAAGCAAAACATTTATATTTGCTGAGTGCAAGGGAAGTCAAACACAAGTACTGTATTCAATGTTAAATGTAATCACTGTTATGTGAATACTACAAAATTATATATCTGAATGTAACCACATAATTAGGAGAAGATGTCATTAATTCAGAAAGCTCCCAGCTAAGTCTCATTAATGAAATATAAGTGTGTAAAGGATCCTTGGGTTATTCCATTTATTTTTCTTTTTTCTTGAAATGTAAGGAGCGTCAAGCATTTTTAAAACAAACTCTTGTTAGGGGTTAAGTGTTCATTAAAATTAAAAATGCCAAAACCTGCCACTTGCAAGGAAAAAAAGAGCTCTTCTCTTAATAATTATTGATTTCACCAGGAAACTGAGAGATAAGTAATTTAATGTTTTCTCTCTACCCATGCCTTTGTTAGCTTGCTAAAATAAAACTTATAAAAATGAGGCATGACTTGATAACAATAGTTACTATAAAAGTTGAGAGAGTCAAAATGAGTTGACTCTCATATCCTCTATAACTGAATACAGGTAGACCTCAACTTATGACCATTCATTCAGCAACCATTCGAAGTTATGGTGGCACTGAACGAAGGGACTTACAACTGGCCCCTGAAGTTACAGCTGTTGCAGTGGCTCTGCGGTCACATGATCAAAATTTGGGTGCTTGGCAACCTGCCCACACTTTATTTATTTATTTATTATCAAACTTTTATGCCGCCCATCTCTCCCAACAGGTGACTCTGGGTGGCTCACAATAATAAAAAAGAAAAAACACAAGTCCCTCCAACCATGGATAAAATCTATAAATAATTAAAAAAACTTACAACTGCAGGAGCACTTCAACTTCCCCCACCCAGCTATCTACCCCCCTTCTATACCCTTTTGGCCCGCTGCACTCGGTGGCCCTTGCCACCCTAGCTGACTTTCACTGTCTTCTTGCTCCCACTGCTGACCAAGCATGTCCAGCCTGCCCCTTCACAAGGCAGCTGCTGGCTGCACGAGGCTTTCTTCCCCAGGTCACGCATGGCAGTTTCCTCGCAAGACTTGCAGAAGATGGCCTTATGTGGCCAGCAGCTGCCCCATGAAGGGCCAGGCCAAGCACGCCTCATCAGCAGCAGAAGCAAGAAGACGGGGAAAGTCAGCTGGGGTGGCAGAGTGCAGGGCAGAGTGCAGGGCGGCGAGAGTGATTGTGGCTGGGACTGGGCTGGGGTGGGTGCGGCTTTGCGCCATGCTGCTGGGCTGAGGCTGGGCTTTGCACTGCGAAGGTACTCCAAGAAGCCCTTGAGCTGCAGCGTGGCAAGCAGCCCCAGAGCTGCGCTGCTCTGCAAGACAGGGTCCAGGGTGGCCAAAAGGGCAGAGATGGGGGGGAGATAGGTGGGTGGGGGGACTTGGAGGCAGTCCCTTACCTTACCGAGGCTCGGGGCTGGGAGGAACCAAGCCTGGAATGACTTGGATTGGGGTGGGTCCTGGGTGGAATTCTGTTAATGATGGCAACAGGAAGTGCCAGGATTGCCGTCGCTAATGATGCGGTCACTTGACATTGCACTTTGGACTGCATTGGGTTGCTCAGATATGTTTACAAAACAGCTCTCTCTAACTTGGGAAATCTGGTTCCTGTTTACCAGCCTCAGCCTTTACAAGATACATTATGCACAACATATTCAAGCCAGTGAGCTCTTCCAAAGGACCACTCTATCAAGCAAAGAGTGCTTGTATTGCTTTACTGGTATCTGGCAGTCATTAGATTTTTGCAGCCCCAATCTAGTAGTCCTAGCAGGACCTGTCCAAAGGGTCTTCTGTACAGCCTGCTAACAGAACAGGAAGATGCTTTGTTAACTGTTTCAGGAAGACATAAATGAATGACTGTCTTCATCTCATCTCTGATTCACCATGAAGGCAGCCCGTATTTTTCTGTTCTGGTTATCTATTATTGACCCAAACCTTGTGGTTGAGATAGATTGTAGCACCTTATGTCAAGATAAGGTTAGGAGCAGGAATTTGTTCTACTTCTACTGGCCACTTAAGGCTTCTATGAGAAAGCACCCACTGTCCTGGCCATTGCTTTTCAGTGCCATTTGCCTTTTTCTCAGTGGAAGAATCAGAGCTGTAATACACCAGACCTGGCAGCAAATCCCTGGCTGCTAGGGCTAGGAGAGATGGCATGTATGGATGGTGGTGGTGGTAAGTAGTTATTTAACTAATAGTGCTATCCTATGGAGGTGTTGTACAGGATCAGAGAAGTGGGGGGTGGGGGTGAGAAGAAGAAATGGAGGGAAGTCCATCTCTGGCCACAATTGCCCTGCAGTAAAGTTTTTCCCTTCTCTCTTTCCCTACTTCTCTTTCCAATGGTGGCAGGAGAACCAAGGGGGAGAAAAGTTGAGGAGAATTATTCCTTTGTTGCCAGTTCTCCAATCCCATGGAGGATAATGACCTGCTGTCAGTAACTGTAATGGAAGGCATGTGCGAGGAGGATACTGGAATGGAAGAACAAGGCTATCAGGAGGGAGGGAGTGCATCCCAGGAGAGGGTACAGGGCAATCGCTTTCTCAGCCCGCAGGAAGACTGTGAAAAGAAGAAGACGCTTAGGCTAGGCCCTCCCTAGAGTCTCACGGGGTGTATCCACTAGTTGCTTTAGCATAGATTTAGTCTGGCGAGATTCTGTCTTTAGGGTATAAGCAATAAAAGAACTATACTGGACTGCCTCCTTGTTGTTCTTGGGCTGGGCCTGACAGTAACTCACTCTAAAGGAGGGGCTTCCCATCTTACTTTTCTCCTCCTCTAATTCTCTTGTGGACAGAACCTCCATGGAAATAGCATGTAACATGGAGAGAGCACAAATTAATAAAAAAAAAAGCCAGTTTAACTCTGTACAGGTAGTCCTTGTTAT